CACTTTTCATCTTCCTTCTTCCTCATCTTCCTTTGCTGTTGATGTTAGTTTATATCGAATTTGAAATCCTTTTGTTCTTCGAGGGTCTGGAACACAGAAACTTCATACTGCAGACTGAATAATCTGAGTTGAGTTCTGCACTTTTTTAATAAACTTTGGTTTTGTACTTTAGTGAGGCATTTTAAAATAACATGTCTACTCTCGGTGAAGATTATAATGAGTTTTGAGTTTGTGAGCTCTCTTCTGAACTCAATTAATCGGTTTTTTTGTTAGCAAGCATTTCTGTTTGGGAAGTCTTGGAAAAGTACGCAAGTTGAAAGGACCTTTCATACCATTTTCACAACATCTGTGAAAATATGTTAATCCTATTTGGCTGTGTTAAGCTCCATTTCTAATCATTTCTTAATGGAAGCGTTATATGCAACAGTCATTATAGTCTTTGGAGTTCATTTTGGGAACATATGACAATTGTTATACTTCCACTAGTCTGCTTAATTTAAATCAAAATTTAATTAGAAATGAATTAAATGTTTTTATAGAGAGAACGCGGTGGAGGAAGTTGTTTACGAAATATTGACTATGGTTTACTTTACTAATTAGTAGTAAAATTTTGCTAACATTGTAATAGTTATTTTTATTACAACTCCTTAAGAAATGTATTATAATTATACAGAGGTTTTTTCGAACAGTAGTGAACTACAACAACAAAAATTTTATTTTTTTTTATATTATTTTAATTAATTAAATTTTGGGCTGACCATACAGTTGTTTGGAGTATTGCCAAATACCCATCATCAGTGGTCTTGAAAATATATCATATGTTATGTCATATGATTATATGTATCTCATATCTCATATGATTATATGTATCTCAATCGTATCTCATATCTTAAAATTTTTATTCAACAGGAAAATTAAGCTTAGTATTGATGATCTTCAATGGAAATAAATTGTTTTTATTACATATGCTTATGTGGTGAATGTTTAGTGCATTAAATAAATAAATTCCAAATGAATTCTACAAATAAATGAATATGCGAATTTCAAAAATTTTGAATTCAATTTTGCAACATCTGTTATTGACCCCATAATTTATTATTATATTCCAACTAAACTGATGTTTCCCTTCTTATTCTTATTTATTTAACCTATTTTAAATTTTTATATTTATTGTTGAACCATAAACACAGACATTGTTTTACGTTTCTATGGTATGATGGGTGACTTCTCTCCATATCAATATTTTGATCTGACAGCATTTAAGCATAAAAATTAGCCTTAAAATTGCTGTCATTGATCAAACAGAAAATTAATTCTTTATTTTGTGAATTCATTGTTGCACCTTTCAATGCCTACTTGAATAAAATTTAAATAAATAATGAAAGAGAAAGGAAGGAACGCTTCGAAACAAAGATGAATACATCAATTCGCAGCTTAAAGGCATCACGGTGTCCAATTGTCCAATATCTCCAATGTTGCAGTGTCACGCTAAGGAATATAGCAATTTACAGGACATGCAAGTCATTGATGCAATCAGCAACAACATCAAATTCGTCAACAATATTTTTATGTTGTTTGTGACATGAAGTGCAACATAACAACAAAGCGTGTTGTTGCAATTCGGCCAGAACATGGGCAAATGACATGATCACATGATCACATGATCACATGATCGCAAGATGACAACACAAAATCTTTACTATGAGAATTCGAAAATTGAGGTAGCTGTAAAATGCAGGTGCGTAGTGGATAGTTGCATTTTAGGATTACGAATAGGTATTGTACATATGAAAGAGTACTCTGCTTTCTGGCATATAAACAACGACGCTGTGTAGTTCGAGATATGCATAGAGTGAGGAAAATATTTTATTTTTCAAAAATCTATTATTTCATATTCACTTTTTTTGTGTGTCAGTTTTTATGTTGTCATTGCGGTTAGTAGTGCATTCGGAATTCATGTTGAGCACACCTTGCGAGGATTTAGTGCAACAGTCGCGACTGCATAAAATCATAAATCATTAATATCCAAGCTGCACATTCCGCACTTTATTTATGTAGATTAAAGTCATGTGAAAGGTGTTTATGGTAAACATTTGCCTCCTCATTGTGCCAACAAGTGTCTTAAATCGTTTGGGTAAACAGCGGCAACTATTTGGTACTGATCCTGGAAATTTTCAACATCATCATCAACGCTGCAGCGCTACGAGAAGAGCCCAGAACTTGGCCTAATGCGTGTGACTTCATTTTTCTCTTGTTTATCTGCCGTCATGTTTGACAAGATGCTCAACTACACTTCAGTTTCTTGTTGTTTTTTTCCTGGTATGGTACGAGTATATTTCATCTGTGGGTACCTTGGAATAATTTTGATGGCGTTAGAAAAGTGATTTTTATTTCATTTTGTGATTTATCTTTTGATTTCACTACTTCACTCGATGCTATTCATTTTAATGATTTATGATATGGCTCGGTTTAGGTTTTTGGCTGTTGGTTGTTGGCTGTTGGTTGTTGGTTCTTGGTTGTACCAACAATCGAACGGCGGTTGTAGTTTTTATTAGCAACGCTGGAGGAGGTGGGACAAATATTATGTTTTTATTCATTTATTTTGTTAATAATTCACAAGTGATTAGTTTCTCATAATTTTATATCTTTTTATTTTTATTAAATTTCGTTTTGGGGGAAACTCTCTTTAGTTTATTGGCGCCATTGCGACTGTGGCATGCGCGCACGCGCATTTACTTGACGCAAATGTTGATTATGTTCGTGGTTAATTAAAAAAGCTGCAGGGTACTTTTCTTCTTCTCTATCAGAGTCTACAAATATAGATTTAGATTTAAATTTTTTTCAAATTTCTTCTCATAGCTCATAGCTCATAGCTTTTGATATGAAATTTTTTTAGTTTTTAATTGTAAACATGTTTTCCTAATCATTCCTCGCTACTTTTGCGATACGCTGTCTTGTTAATTTGTTGTATTTAATGTTTAAGAATTATTTACGCATTCCAGCAGTTTTGTCACGGTTAATTAATAAATAAAATTCAATATTAACGAGTTTTCACCAAATGAACAACTGTATTACCACGTTCTGCGAGGAGCTGAAAACACTCGTACTTGCACCAGCACTAACAGTTATTTTACAATAAGTGGACAAGCGATTGGATTAGATAGCGGAGTTTAGGAGGATCTACGGTACGCTCGCGACATAGCCATTGAACAACTGTACTAACAATTCTGCCATAGAAAAAAAACAAAATTTCTGGTACGGCGTTAAGGTGAAACTGGTCATTGCTGAAATGAATGTCATGTAAGTTTCTATTTAAAGATTCTTCATTCTTCAGTATTTGTAATCAAGAAATCGCATTAAGTGTGCTTTCATATATACAAACTATTATTTAAACTATACAGAGGAATAGATAAGATGGAGTCGAAGGGGATAATATCCAACAAATATTTTATATTGCAGTGTTTTTGAATTATATTATCATTTATAATCAAGAAATCACATTCTGAAATTTTGTATACAGAAGTTAGTAATTGAGGAA